GCTTCCACACCTTCTCCAGCATCGTCTGTCGCTGCTAAACCTGCCGATGGCACCACTGCTGCTTCAACCACCTCAGCCTCTTCAACCCAGGGGGCTACCACCCTCACCGCATCCTCATCATCGTCCTCTTCCTCCCCTGCACCAGGAGAAGCAAGTGCCTCAGGAGCTGGAGGCAGTAGCAGCAGCTCGACAACAACTGATGGGGTGAAGCCCAGGCAACAGGCCCCTAATGCTCCAGCATCAGATCCTCTTCCACCAGGGTAAAAATCCCATCTGGATGCTAAGATCGTATTCAGATCCCTGTGACATCACTGCTGCCAAGCAAACATGAATGACGCGTGTTCCATAACTAGATATAGTGAATTTTTTATTTTATTTTAAAGCTAAGATATTCTATCACTTGCATTGAAGTCAGCGCTTTGGTTTTATTGAAGCATTTTTGATCAAAATTTGGTATCTAAAGTTGGTCCAAAATAATCCAAAAAACAATAATTGGATTATATGGGAAATTATCTAAAATCTCAGAAGCACAGATTATTTCTGCTCCAGCTTTTCTGTCCTGCAGCGCTTGTATCCTGCACATAGAGCCCACATGGTCACAACAGTAGCTAATAGCAAAGCATAACTTGGACACATTTCTACCATTTTATTTGGTACAATCGTAGAATATTTTTATGTTGAAGCTCATAGTGGAAATGAAACGGTGAACCAAACTAACTTAATTCACTAGTTTGTGTCTTACTATTGCCAACGATTATATTACAAACATGAAAATATGAATTTAAGAGAAAAAAAACATAGCATTGTTTTGTTATCTTTTGGCAAGGGTGCCGGATTGTTGCAGTATTCCAAGCAGTTACTCTATGAGGCATAAAGCCAGAGAAAACTCAGGAACCTTTTTCAGTTTCTCTTTATGCCAACAAAATTCTGTAAAATTTCTGAGGTTTAACCCATTAGCACCTCATTCATGATTTCCTGTTGATTGTAGAGCCGTTAGTTCGGAAAGGCTCGATGTGGAGAAAAGGC